CCACTTTAGTTTAAGTCCCATTCAGACTTGCATTAGCTCTTCAATCTGCACTGATTTACAAACTGTTTCTCAAAACTGAGGCTGTTCAGAGAGCAATCTGAAACAGCAAAGGTATTTATTCTTCTTAAAATTTTCACAAACCACATCCAAACTTTGCTTTTAGGGTTTTGTTCAAAATTTACAACCTGCTGTGAGTTTTTGCGCTTTTTAGTGTTAATCCCTAATATCTATCATCCTCCATTTGATCACTTTTCTAGGTAAAAAGAGGATACAAAGCATTTATTGGCCACTTACGATGAATACAGAGCACCTCAGTTTTACTCGGTCTGTTTGACCCTAAATGTCTGCTGTTGAGCTGATAAAAGTCAATGGCGGGCAGCTGAGCAATCTTGTTGACAGTCGTGTCAAACTGGTTGAAAACAACAAAATCCATACTTGTTAACAGACTTCTAACGTGCTTAAACTTCTGGTGTTTCTCTGAAGCCTGAGTCAATGAAGAATGAAGTACTTCCCTTTTCTGCATCACAAACTACTATGCTCTCACAAATAGTAGAAAATCACATTTTTTATGGTTCTTGTCTGTGATGAAGTGATGATTCATAAGTGAGTCATCACTTCACTTCACAACAATCATTAAAATGATCTAAAATGTATCCTGTTTTTATGTTGCTGTCTGGATTTCTGTGTCTGGGAATAACAAGGTATATTGAAAGTTTTACAATTGCTCCTGGATTTGGTTCAGGCGCTCTTTAAATCCAAATGACAGACTGTTTACTTTTTAAAGTTTTATCACCGATTTTCATGCATAGATATTGTGATAACAAACAAATGAAGATAATCATATAAAATATATACAGTTAAGTGGTAGTTTGGTCTTTTTAAAGTGATGTTCTGTTAAATAGTCTTCAATAGTTAGCACTTTATCAACTGCGACATCAGTCTAAGAGAATGGGGCACAAAGAAAAAGGCAGAAGTCTTCCTCCAGGATGGGCCATTAAGCCAAACTATGACCTTTTTATTACCGGTAGTTGTTTTTCAGGCTTATTAATATTTTTTCTTCAAAATATAAGGCAGATGTGAAAGACTGCGATATTACTTATTATTATTCTTCTAAACTTGCGAAGGGATAGTCGAACCTCGGATTCAGGAGGAACAGTGCGGTTTTCGTCCTGGTCGTGGAACACTGGACCAGCTCTACACTGATGGTCCTAGAGGGTGTGTGGGAGTTTGCCCAACCATTCGACATGTGCTTTATGGACTTGGAGAAGGCGTTCGACCGCGTCCCTCAGGGAACTCTATAGGGGGTACTCTGGGAGTATGGGGTACCGGGCCCTTTGATACGGGCTGTTAGGTCCCTGTATGACCAGTGTCAGAGTCTGGTCCGCATTGCCAGCAGTAAGTCAGGCTTTTTCCCGGTGAGAGTTGGACTCCGCCAAGGTTGACCTTTGTCACTGATTCTGTTCATAACTTTTATGGATAGAATTTCTAGTCGCAGCCAAGGTGTTGAGGGGATCTGTTTTGGTGGCCTTAGGATTGCGTCTCTGCTTTTTGCAGATGATGTGGTCCTATTGGCTTCATCAGATTGTGATCTACAGCTTTTGCTGGAGCGGTTCACAGCCGAGTGTGACACGGCCGGAATGAAGATCAGTTCCTCCAAATCCGAGGCCATGGTCTTGAGCCGGAAAAGGGTAGAGTGCCCTCTCCGTGTCAGAGAGGAGGTCCTGCTCCAAGTGGAGGAGTTCAAGTATCTTGGGGTCTTGTTCACGTATGAGGGAAAAATGGAGCGTGAGATCGATAGGCGGATAGGTGCAGCATCTGCCGTGAAGCGGGCACTGTACAGATCTGTCGTGGTGAAGAGAGAGCCGAGTCAAAAGGCGAAGCGCTCAATTTACCGATCGGTCTATGTTCCTACTTTCATCTATGGTCATGAGCTTTGGGTTGTGACCGAAAGAACGAGATCTCGAATACAAGTGGCCGAAATGAGTTTTCTCCGCAGGGTGTCTGGGCTCTCCCTTAGAGATGGGGTGAGAAGCTCGATCATCCGGGAGGGACTCAGAGTAGAGCCGCTGCTTCTCCACGTTGAGAGGAGCCAGTTGAGGTGGCTCGGGCATTTGTTTAGGATGCCTCCTGGATGCCTCCCTGGTGAAGTGTTCCGGACACGTCCCACCGGGAGGAGGCCCAGAGGAAGACCCAGGACACGCTGGAGGGACTATGTTTCTCAGCTGGCCTGGGAACGCCTCGGGATTCCCCCGGAGGAGCTGGACCAAGTGGCTGGGGAGAGGGAAGTCTGGGCCTCCCTACTTAAGCTGCTACCCTCGCGACCCGACCTCGGATAAGCGTAAGAAAATGGATGGATGGATGGACTTGCGAAGGGGTGTGGTGGTGCAGAGGTTAGAGAAGGCAAACCTGTGTTTTGATTCCCTGGACTAACATAAAAAGTGTGAGTGGGAAAGTTGAAGCACCCACACCTGCCTCCACCCTCACTTGTCCCACTCTGGACCCTTGAGCAAGGCCCTTAACCTCCACCATCTGCACCCCCGGGCACTCTAGATGGCAGCTCTCTGCTCCACACACAGGGCTGTGGTAGCTCGGTGGTCTGTGGTTGTGTCAGGAAGGGCATCCGGCATAAAAACAATTGTCAAGTCTTCGTGAGAGTTAGCTCGCTGTGGCAACCCCTGAGGAAGGGAGCAGCTGAAAGAAGAAGCAATTATTTATATTGCTTATTTTGTAACAATTATCTCAAACAAACGTATGTGTGCAGAAAATACTGTGTATATTATATTGCTCGTGCTGATCAGCACGCCTTAGTCATAATGAACTCCAGGTGAACTGATACATTCAGCAGCATCAGGACTCTGACACTGACATATAGTTAATATGTGTATCAAAATGATAATTATTTGGGAAAATGGCAACAAACTAAACAGACAACGTTATGCAAAAGTCTACATTTTTATTACTAACCTTTCATCTTTCACACCAGTATGTCTTAAAAAAAATAAAAATATTGTTTTATAAGCCTGAAAATACAATATAAAACTGGCCTTTGTTTGGCTAGCCATTAGCCTCGTGTGGATGTAGCTGCTGCATTCATATCCATCTGCTCACTATTGACTCATGTTCAGGCTGCTGTTTAACATACCATATTATTTTACACTATTAGTGTTTAGTGTATATCTTAGATCCTTGTATACTCTTACTTTTTATACTTTATATTTTTGCTATTTTTAGGTGTAACTGGGACCTTGGGTACACAATTTAATTCTACCTCATGTACCACATGTGATGAGAATGACAATAAAGAAACTTAAACCTTGAATGAAGACTTGTTCTATTTTTCCATACTCTGTGCTCTATGACGCTATGATCACTTCAAACATAAACCAAATATGCCCAAAATTCACAACCGATGTTTGGATTCACAATAGAAATCCACATCACACCTGAACAAGCACAGATTTGTCAAAATCATTGTTTATTATAAAAAGAAAAAAAAACATGTACATCTTACAAGCTCTAAAATGTGACAAAAATATACCAAAGGTTTATTATAACATGCTTTTCTACATATAAAATTATCACAGACCCTTTGATTTAAGTGGAAAACCTTTGACATCAGTGTGGCAAATATTATCAACATGAGTTTGGTATTGTTTAGAAAATATGTAATGGTCGAAAGTGATTTATAATGCTCAGACACACTGAGAGTAGACAGAGAGCTACAGTGACACAGATCAAAATGTCCTCACTTGCAAAAGATGAGTTATCAGTGATGATGTCATGCTGGGAGAACAGATGTTAAGGAATTATCATGCTTAGCTTGTGTTATTATAAAATAGTAATATTGACACTTAAAAAAGACTGTTTTCTACCTGTAATTAACTTGGGTGTTAAACAAAAACACTGAATATGATTTAAACCACATTTAATCCTGTTAGAAAATACTGTTATTAAAAAAAATAACAGTTTTCATTTGAATTCTTAATAACAGTGTTTACCTTTAAACAAGTAGAAGAACACCATCTTTGATAACTATTTTCAATGGCACATGAACCTTGCAACCTGGACACAAAATACTCTACATTATATTATGATGTGTAACCATGGCAACAAGGTGGTTTTTTTGACAACCAGGAGAAGCAGATTAACATCTCAAAAGCTCAAATACATCAACTACAGCACCAAATCCCAAACGAGTTGAAAAGGAGGCTCCGTGGATGAATTCCCGTCAACATGGCGGCAATGCTTGAGTGCCTGACCGCCAAGATTCCGGAACTGGTGGGAAACTCGGCTCATGACAACGGGAGGACCGGGATCATCACTCAGCACCTTCAGCTGTCTGTTGGTGGCAGCGAGGAACTCGGCAGACTGCTGGGAGGAGTGACCATTGCTCAGGGAGGAATTCTGCTCGGCATTCAGGCAGTCCTGCTTCCCAGGAGGACCGAGAGCCCTGCCGGATCTGACAGCAAGCTGGATCAGGGTGGACGGATCGGTATCTGTGGCCAGATTCTTCAGATTTGCTGTATGAGATCCATCCTGCCCACAGCTATCAGCATCTATAACAACTCTTGAAGGAAACCAGAATGATGAGCTACGACAACACTTAATTTCCCTCAGGGATTAATAAAGTATTTTTGAATTGAATTACACACAACTGGATAAATAAGTAGAACTCCTGCTGTTGTGATGTTGTTGCATTGACAAATATGTGTCGCAGCATCTGTAATAAAATATGAAGCTACGGTTAAACTCAAACTTTATTGCAGTAACTGTGCCCTTATGCTAGACGCGTAGTTTTGATGTTGTCTTGTATCACCTGTATCTTACTCTGTTTTACTATTAACAGTCATTTCTGCCTTACACAGTCATAGTAGTGCCCTCAAGTGACAAGGAGTATTAACAGCAACTGAACATAAATGCCTTTATGGTGTAAACCTCAGACCACACACACACACACACACACACACAAATTGAGGTGATTTATACGTTGACTGCTCACTTCATATTTCTGTGGCAATAACATCATCATACGTTTGTAACCCTGAGGCATATCTGACGTTCTTGCTCAGCTCGGTCCGACTCTCCAGCTCTGCCGTTTGCTCCTTCAGGACCCTCTGCAGGTCTCGGTTCTTCTTGTGCATCTGCAAGTAATTGATCTGAAGCTGCTTCTGATATTTGATCACCCTGTCTTTCTCCTTGTTCCACGTCTGCCGCTCCTGCTCAAAGCTGCTGACCAGCCTCTCCTGAGCACTCTTCTCCTCTCTGAGCTGCTGCTTCAATCTTTCCACCTGTCTTTGGAGCGATTCAGTGGAGATGTGTCTTTTCATGTCCACCTCATTTTCAGAAGAGTCTGATTCCTGGATCGGGCTTTCTAAGGTCCGAGTCTGTGAATAGGTTTCAAGTTCCATGCTTTGCTGCAGTGTTTTATCTTTGGCTGCAGGGAAATCCTGATTCTTTCCCTGAATGTCTTTCTCCAGTTTGATCACTTTCTCCCTCAGAAAATCAGCCTCGTTTTTTTTGCGCTGGAGTTCGTTTTGACACACCTGCACAAAAATGAAAATATTCAGAGAATTAGAAGATTGAAGATGTTCTTTTTGTGCATCTGCTATAATAACATGATTAGGGCTCTCACAATATGGAAATCAAGAACACAAAAATCCACTGTATATTATCCAACTTGCTTCTTAAAAGTGACTACTGGGCTCAGTGAGAGTATTTTATTTAATTTGTTATTAAAACAGAAAGCGAACAAACCTCAATCTCTCTGGTGCAGGCCTGGAGTTTGTCCTCATAGTCTTTTTTCTGTCGCTCAAGCACCTCCACTTTTGTCACGTTTTCCTTCAGCGATGCTTTCAGACAAACGATCTCGTTGAGTTTGTTGCTGACATCTGCTTGGCATTCTCTCAGTTGCTGCTTCAGTAACGAGATTTCTCCCGTCTTCTGACATATCTGCAGTCAGACGAAGGCAATTACAGTGAAAAAGTGGTGAATTATTGTCTGTGATGTGCTCTCCAATAAAAGGTTTTAGATGAAAAAAGAGGAAAAATAAGCAGCCTCAGATTATTCTTTAGACCATGTGACATTATTGTTTCTTCTCCGGTTGATGTTATATTTATGCATTCTTTGTAACGACATTATATGTGACGTTGTCGTAAATCGTTAACTTGGAAAACACTATTATGGCTGATCTGAAATGACCACAAATGAACATACAACCCAAACCTTAAACAACTTTTACAGTCTAATGTCATTTCCTAAAACTATGTGTCCTGAAAACCATGTCTTATGCACAAGTATACAAAGTTGCTTCTTGAAATATAGTGTGCAGACCTATACTGCAAAACTATCATGAAACAAAAACGATAACAGTTTCAGTTTTTCCTTTCCACTGTCGCCTTCATGCTTGCTCAAGATGAGAGTCTGCGATGGAGTTAAATTCAAAGCAGTCTGCTCCTCAGATAAATTATGTTAACTTGTGTTTTATATATTGTATATGAATGTTTCTGTTCAGTGCCCTGAGATGACTTCTTTTGTGACTTGGTGCTGTATTGGGCGGCTGTGGATGAGTGGTTAGAGCAGTCGTCCTCCAATGCAAGAGTTGGGGGTTCGATTCCACCAGCAGTCACATGCTGAAGTGTCCCTGGGCAAGACACTGAACCCCTCATTGCCTCCGAGGTGTGTCCCATCAGTGTATGAATGTGATAAAGCACTCATCTGTCTCTTTAGATTAGCTTTGTAGAGATCTAGTAGAGTGTTGTATGAATGGGTAAATGAGGCACAGATTGTTTTAAAGCACTTTGAGCATTTTGATAAGATAGAAAGGTGCTATATGAGTGCAGTCCATTTACCATTTATATAAATAAACTTAATTGAATTGAACTGAAATTTGGTTTGATGGATAGATGTGTCACTGACATAACTGACAAGCAGATGTCATCCAACATTCAGCAAGTACATTTTACAAGTAATTCAGTTTGAAATTAAACACTCTCTGGGCATTAAAAACTACCTGGTTAGCTGTAGGAAAATATTACAGCCTTAAAATGGAGCCTGTCATAACTTCTGCTGCATGAGTGAGGAGTTCCACTTGTACTAATACAAGCTTTGAACGAAAGAATAAACACAACAACATAAACAACAACTATGACATCTTTTAAATTTAGAAGTTGTGCAGGGTGTTACAAAACCTATGTTTGTTAGCATTATTAGATTTGTTTCTTAATGTAAATGTTGGTGCACTACAATTTTCTATCTTGTTTAAATGATAGAAGTCACATTTTCACATCAAGTCCGGATTTATTTAAGTAAACGAACATATTGTTCCATATGAGAGCAGAGCAACAGACTAAAAATTGTTCATGTATCAGAGCTACATCATTTTCTCTGCAGGTTTTTAGACAGATTACCAGGTGGTTGATTACTTCTAGCCAGTGTTGATATAAAATTCACACAGAAAGCTGGTCTGAATTTGGTCTTGGACATTTAAATCTATTCAAATGCAGATGCAAACAAAAGGTGCAAATACCAAAAGTGATTGTTAATCTTGACAGTTTGTTCAGATGTTAATTAACAAAGTATTCAATTTATTCCATGTTTACAACTTTGCAGAGGGGAACAATTTTATATAATGTAACATTCCACTCACTGCTGTTTTGTGCATATGCAATTCATTATAACTATGAGCGTTGTGAATGCAAACTGTCCCCTGTGCACTTCCAATAGCTTTGCTCTAGTTCCATAATTTCACACGTGACCCACCTCCCACTGAGTTTCTTCGAGTGTCGGTACGAGTTGTGTGCTCTCTTTTTCTGAGGACCTCAATCTCAGTTCAACAAGATTTTTCTCTCGAGTCAGCTTGGAGACGTCTCCCTGAAGCTTGTCGTTCTGTGCCTGAACAAGATATAATTATATCATTTGAAATAATTAGAGTGCACGCATCCATCTGCTGATTCTTTATATTTTGGGTGAATTTAAGATGCAGTATCATAACTGATTTGATGATTTTTGGACAGATCAGATGATGATAAAAAATGGACTCTGACCTGAAGCTGGCTGACCTGCAGCTGCAGAGCTTGATGGGATTTTGCAGCCATTTGTGAAACTTGCTGTAGCTTCGTGGAGCAATGTTGCTTCAGGCCCTCAATCTCCTCAGCACAATATCTTTGTCTCTCCTCAAACAGCTGGCAGGTGTCTGCTTCTTTCTCCTCTAAACTCACCTGTTGGAAAGTTCAGGTGTCAGAAGTCTACTTAATCAACATCTCAACTGAGTTTTTTTTCTTTTTTCTTTTGCCATGTTACAGTTCGGTACCTGTAGCTCCTGCAGCTCGGTTTCTCTCTCAAGCAGCCTCTGCTCTAGATGCTCAATCAGTGACTCGTCTGTCGTTATGGGGGTTCGAATCCCACCTGTGGTTTCAGAGACAGCTCTTGGCTCATCTGCAGACAGTGGGGAGCCAGAATTCTCATTAGCCATAGAAGCCAAAACGCTGCTATTCCAACAAGCCCTGTAATTGCAGTCGGGTTTGGCATTGTTTCTGTTGACCCATGGAGGGAAATTGGGCTGTTGTCCTCTGCCGAGGCTGTTTGCAAGAGCTGAGCTGCCATCAATCTGACAGACGGGCCCCGAGGAACCTCTGAGACTGCCACTGGTGCTGTGGGTAGGCAGGCTAGACATGGAGTTACGTCCAGAGTCAGATAAAGTCCCTGAAAGACAGATTGCATTTGAGTAATTTGTGATTCAGTTTAAATAGTCCAACTGTTTTGCTATACTGACAGAAACCTAAGGTGTCTTGTTTTTGTCCAACATTTGGACATCTCGCTTTCCTCAGGGGACAAAGGATGTTGTCCAGACTGTTGTGGCCAATCTCTGCGTATGAAGGCCTCGAGGGATTTGCAGAGTTAAAGGCAGTGGAATGGACCAGCGACTTCTCAGCAGAAGTCTAGAAGAATAAAAATGACTCTGTTTACATTTTTATATTCAGTGACTTCCCGTAGCTGACAACATAGCTGCAAGGCTGTGGAAAAGTTGAGGAGTTGCATTAAAACCTCAGAAAAAAAAAATCACACTTTGTTCATACAATATTTATTATCACACACTGGAAGTTTGTTCAAATAAAAGGATGGGGTTTTTCTCCCGTTGTGTCACTTCATATTAAAAACGGAGCCACCAAAGCGTGACACTATCGAAAGCCTCACAACCATAACGCAAGTAAAATTCACTAGACTGTCGTAAAGAAAGAGAAAAACTCATTTATGAGGTGAACATATACTCCGCAGACCCCATCTGTGCTATTCTGGACTGTCACCAGCCGTACCATACCTCCCTTTCCTTCTGAACTCCTCTTTGCTCCTCTGCAGCCTACATTTCCTCTCCATGTGCTGTCTAAGAGAAGATGAATAGCTCCTCTCCATGATATTAATAATATGAGCTATTGCTGAAGTGTAAGAGAGGTAAGGCTTGTGAGCTCAGCATTCCTTCACACTGACTTCATGGCCGGGATACCTCTCTCCTTGTCTCTCCCCCCATTTCAATCTGTCAAATTTCCGCTGGCCCTTGATCTCTTTCTCGATGTGTTCTCCCTTTATCTGCTCTGTCCCTTCCTGGAGGACTAAAAACTTATTGAGGAAGGTGCTTTGGCTCATGTTTCCTTGACAAGAAATTACCTCTCTGAGAAGATCAAGACGTTCGCAAGTCATTAATCTAAGGAGAGAGGTGATTAAAAAGCTGGAGGTTTAACAGGGCTATGAAAAATGGTTGCTACTTATTAAATTACTACTGTTTATTTATTTGTCATCCTCCACATCGCCTTGAGGCTTTCAAAGCCTTTTGAAGACGCTACATTCAGAGTTCACTGACATGAACTATGCTTCTTTCATGTCTATACGCTAAAAACGAGGCTAATAGCAGATAGTTTGCTGGAGATGGGAAAGTTCTTGCATCATCAAAGCTCGCAAATAAAGAACAGTTTGCTTTGCCGATATGAAAAGTTGAGTTCTGCGTATTTGAGGCAACCTCGTGAAAAGTGTGTGCTTGTGGTGGCAATTTTATGATTCTGGTACAACATTTAGTTTAGAATCTTAGTTTATGTTTTTGAAGAATTGTACAATTGTAAATGTAAATAACATGTAAATAAAAATGTAAAGTGCATGTACAATTGTACATGTAAAGAATTGTACAATTGAGTTGTACATTGATTGTCTATTGTCATCACTCTTTGTTAAAAAAAATTCAGGTCTTTCTTGTAAATGAGTCCCCGAGGCTTAATGGGATTAACCTGTATAAATAAAGTTTGAATGAAAAACAACAAAAAAAGAATTGTACATGAAAGACAAGGGCATACCAAACTCCCCCGTTCTGGTATCTTTCCAGGCATTATAAGGAGTTTTGGTTTGGGTTGCTGCTGACAGTCTGATTTTCCATCTCTGGTCACAGTCTCCTCCACTGATCGTTCCCTGTGGTACCCTGACTTCGGTTTGTTACTCACCTGATGAGAAACAAAAACACTTCACCTGTAAAAACCTGGATTCAGGGAGCTAACATTGTCGGTTTGTGTGATCTCACCTTAATGTAAAAGAAATCCTCACTTCTCCCTGACCTCGAGTGCGAGAGGCCTTTAGAGTGATGAGTGGAGGATGAAGAGCCCTGAGCAAAGCCACACTTTAGCAACCCGTCAAGACTGCAGCCTCCACTCTTTCTGTGGTGACTCGCTCCCTCCTTTAACCTGTGCTCAGAAGCCTTGCAGTGTTTGCTGTTGAGGCTGTTACCATTAATGAGGCTGCTGACACTACCCATGATCCTGCAAGCATGGGTGAGGACAGAATGGGTCCGAGGTCCAAATGATCAAGTTATAGAGAAGTGATGGGAGGACTCCTTTCATGACACCAGCACATTCATGTCAGTGGCTTCATCTGTAAAACATGAAAAACATACAGTAAAATTATGAATTCATCTACAGTATCAGATTTGTAAACAGTATTTACTGTATGCATTGACAAAGCATGAGGCCTACTTCAATCATATGGCTGATTTAAATATAGCAATGCTGATTCAGTGACTGTAATGTTGTTCCTTATGTCTGGGGCAAGTGCCAGTGCATCAATAAGGAGTGGATCCAGTGAGGGTCAGAGCAGCTTGTTAGCCTCCAGAAACAACTTCATTAATATAATATGGTTTGGCTACAAAAGGACAGACCTCCAATGAAGTTCAATGTAATTGTAAACAAACAAACAAAAAAACCTGTTAAAGCTAAAGTTAAAAAATCAAAACAAACTTGTTTCACCATTCTACGGCAAATCGCCACAAAGTGCAACACAAGCGGTGCACCAGTGTCCTCCACGGCTGAGGGGTTTGAATAGTAAATGTTTTTTTAGATACATGTTTTTCTGGACTGGATTTGAACTGGGAATGCAAGTAAACCTTAATGTTTTTGATGCATGATATTCAATCACTTGCACAGTGTATAAGAAGAGAGAGAGTTTTTTATTTGATTTAATTTTTACTTGTCTCAAGTAACGCAGAGTGACAGATCCTGGTGAGGTGGGAGCAATTTTATCCACCACCAGGTGCAATGGCGGAGCCAGGGGGTGGCCAATGGTGGCCTTGACCACCATAGATTAATCTTTAGCAACTACAATCATTTAAGAAAACCCTAAGGTAATATAAAAACTAGAAAGTATAGTTTCCTCCTTTCACTGGTGACCTTTCTTACACCTAGATACAACCACACCAAAATGGAAGCCAGCACGTTACTTATTTTTGACCCAAACATTTGAGAAAATTTTACTTTTAAACAATAAAAACATTAGAAAACACAGTTGCCTCCTTTCAATGGTGTCCTTTCTTACACATAGATGCAGCCACACACTAAATAGGGAGTTGGTACCTCATTTATTTTTCATGTTATCCAGCTCACAAGATGGACGGCTTTGACTGACAGGACGGCCAATTCATTTACGTCTGCGTTTAAGATATGAGCTCAGTTATTGTAGGTAACAGTGTAATATGCAGACTTCTGAAGAGTGGCAAGTTTAAATGGCTTCAGTAATTATTTGAGTTTTGCCAGGCAGTTGTGTTATTCCTTTGCTGAAAATTTGCTGCAGATATTTTAGGGAAAACACAACCTAGAATACTTAAATATTTTTATTGACTTAGTGTTGTCTCTGCTTTTGCAGTGTTATGGCTGCTGTTGGACCCTCGTAGCAACAGATTCACATTATTTTATGCACAGCACAGCTCATTTGAAAATAAAAGATCAAAAACACCTTTTATTCTTTACTCTAAGAAATGCTGCAAGCTGCAAACTATAGTAAATGTCACTGAGAAACACTCATGACCCACTTTATTTAGTATATTTGTTCAGTTGTTTGCTGTAATCACTTGGCAGCAACTCAGTGCATTTAATTCAATTCATTTCAGTTTATTTATATTTCACCAAATCACAACAGAAGTTGTCACAGTGCACTGTACAGAAACATTCACATACACACAAAAGCCAGTTAGTAAAGTTCTCTTTCTAAGGAAGGAAACCAGCAAACTCATGTAGTGAACACGTGGGTACGTGCCACTAGTTGTAGTATGACAATATATGAGATATATATTGATACAATATTCACGAGTTCCTCATCTTTCTGACTGTGTAATGTCGTGCATTGAATTTAACAGAAATGTAACGAGAGACGTCATTTATCTTTGACCCATCAAAATGAATGCGGTCATTTATTTTCAGAATCAAAGTTTAACATCAAACATTTACATTAATTTGGCAACATATGAAAATAATAACAGACAAGTTTCACAGAAAATGAGCATCGATCACTCGGCGGTGAACGAGGACTTTGCTTCAGATATTTCTAAAATATCTGTACTGATTTTATGAGAAAGAGGAGAGTTTTAAGATGACATGGAGATTTATCTTACAGAGAACTATGTGAGGGAATTAATCTGTTTGACCAGAACGTGCACGCTTCATCAGATCTCAGCTCGCCTCCGGTACACTTTAGTCGAAGAAGAGACCGTTACCTGGTTGATGATAGATCAGCTCGATAGAGAATCCTCCAGACCTTTCAGCGTCTCCGTTGAGAGCGGCTGAAATCCTTAGATAGTCGTGTGTGGTTTGTTCAAACAGAAGTTATAATTCCAAAACGTCTCTGGACCATCTTGAATGCGTTTGCACCCAAGAATACTGAACTCCTTTCATTCTTCAGAACTTTTCAGACTCTTAATTGTCAGCAACTCTGTACTCTCGAATCCTCTGGAATTCTTCTGAATTCTCTTCCCTTCTAACATGAACTGGGAAGTTGCCACATTTAAAATGGGTCGACTTCCGGTTCATTTGAGAGCTTTTGATTGGTCGATGGACCAGAAAGAGGTGTGTTTTTGTGATGTAAGATGTTATCACAAGTCAAGGATTGTTTTCAACATACAGAAAAGATTATTGCAGACGACCAGACTTCGTGGAGTCTCACGCTGTTGTATCTTCTCAAATAGTAAAACATGACATTTCTTTTTCAGTAAACATTTAGTTGACCGAAGCTTCAACTTTCACATACTTACATTACTTGGCTCATTTCAGACAGAGAATCAAGAAATGCATATTAACCTGATTTCTTCTTTGAATGAGGAATAAAAATCATTACTTACTGTTTATGTAAAATAAAAATGAGTAGTTCTCTTCAACCTGTAAGCATTGAATGGAACTAACACAATTTGATTATCAAACATTTGTAAAACAGTGATGATTATAAAATTGTCTTTTCTGCTTGATTAATTCAAGAAAGAAAGTCACCAGATGGCTCAGACTGTATTCAGATCAATGAAAATAACAGTCTCTGTCCATCTGATAGATTTGAGGTCATCAGGGTCAGATCAGGGTCAGATCAGGTTCACTACACTCATTAAATCTTCACTTTATCGCAGTCTCCCGTCCTGAGCAAGCACAAAGGCAACAGTGGAAAGGAAAAACTCCCTTTTAACAGGAAGAAACCTCCAACAGAACCAGACTCAGGACAAGCGGCCATCTGCTTTGACCTGCTGGGTTGAGAGGACAGGAAGGGGAAACAAACAAACACAGAATGGCAGGTCCAGATGTAGATGCAGATGTATCCCCTATTGGAAGAAAGACAAAAGTAACATGTCAAGGATAGAAAAAATTACAAATACAAAACAGGTAGAGGAGAGTAAGTAAAGACAGCAGCAGAGTAGAAATGTGGTGTTTGTCCTCCAGTAGTCTAAGCCTACAGCAGCATAGCTAAGGGTTATCTCAGGAAACCCAAGCCAACCCTAACTATAGGATTTATCAAAAAGGAAAGACTTAAGTCTAATCTTAAAAGTAGAACATGATAATTTAGTAGACAATTTACGCGTCTAGACAACTTGCTTAGGTTCAACCTGAGCATCAGAATAGGGAAGAAAAGGGATTTAGGTGACTTTGAACATAGTGTTGTTGTTGATGCTAAACTGGCTGGTCTATTTCAGAAACTGTGGATCTACTGAGTTTTATGCATTTTCAAAGTCACCTGTCTTTTTGCCCCTATTCTGATGCTTGAATTAAATTGCAGTCTACAGCACATCCACAACGAAATGCATTGAGTTGCTGCCATGTGATTGGCTGGTTAGCTTTGTGTATTAACAAGCAATTGAACAAGCATCTCTAATCAAGTGGCCAGTGAGCATTTATTTGAGACTGTTTTGCTGATCCCTAATGCCCAATCTGGACTAAAAACAACGAAGCAGGTTTGGGTACGTGTGCCAAACAAACTGAACAAGGGCATTTGGCAATTTGCTTCGAGTTGTGCATTTACAGTCTGCTGTTAAATTCAACATGTACTTTTTTTTTGATGGCCTTCTTCAAAATCCAACTGTTCCCTAAGCCTCTAAATGTCAACGCAACACTTGAATGGTGCAGCTTTCAAACTAATACTACTGAAAAACTTGCTTAATTGCAAGACAACTAACATCAATAAATAGAGTTTGATCACATGAAAGCCAAAGAAAAACAGTGATGCTAACATGCCTGATTATATTTGACAACCCTGTTTATTTATTTATTGAGTTCATGTCATTACTAATCATGCAGCCACACTTTCCACCTCCTTCAAAGGCAACCGGACCCCAGATGCTGCATGATCTATATCCTCACAGGGGAAAAGGAGAGAATATTTATGGCAAAGGACTCCACACTAACAGAACTATTCTCCTAGAACCACCTGGTCTTCAGTCTTTAAGCATTTTATAATGGCCACAGCATCAAAGCACAGAACATATTAGTTTACACTACATTTGACTCAGGGTTGGAGCTAAATTGCATTCATTGTCCTGCTGTGCTACGATGAAACAAAGGAAAGGGCTGAATGAGGGAGGGAGCTCAAGATCAAGACTGTCACATTTCATTAACCCCAAAAACAAGTGATGTGAGGGACAGAGACAATAAAAAGTAATGTGTCAGAGGAATCAAAGCAGTGAGACAGAAAGTGGAACAGTACGAGTTCTGGTGAATACGACTAGTAGTGAGTCAAAAAAAAACAACCAAAACTTTAGTATTTCTTTTAAATACAAACAAGTTTAAGAAATGTTCATCAACATCGCACACACACCTTCCAGCACTGCTTCAGTTCACATTTTGAAAAAGTCCAAATTGAAACTTGATCAAATCAAAGTAAACAGCCTCTGCAGATGTTGCTTGATGAAATGTGATAATAAAATTCAGGCAGCGCCAACGTAAGGCGAAGCTGTGTCACCGTGGTAAACAGCATCTGACACCGTTGTGTCTGTCTGTGTCTCATTGTGCCTGTACA